GAATAAGAATACAATGCACAAGATGGATTTGAATAATAGCACAGGAGTAACAGATTTGTGCACAAAAATCACCAGGAATAAAAGGATAATTGTTGTTGAGAGTTTAGGACAGACTGAGATTCTTAAAATTGAATTATTTGCAGTTTTGATTGAGGAGGAAACTTTCATTGGTTTCCTCTCGCGTTTTCTCCTCAACAGCATCAATAATCCCAAAAAGTCATTAATTGTCGGACAAAAGGTCGAATGGTCAACTTTGAACAGTTTTTTTTCCAGTTTTGCTTCCAAACATTTGAAGAACAGTCACTCATTTAAGAAAAAAACTGGGCATATATCTAACTGAAAACATTTTTCAAAGTACCTCACACAAAAAATTATGATAATTCAGTGATCCTTTGCCAAAAAAAAATTTGAGCTTGACTCAAACGCTGCCACTTCATGATTTCCTCACGCTATAAGCTCGCGCTTGATGGAAATTTCTCTTTAAATCCCCGTTTTGCGTCTTTTCCGACATAATCCGGTTAAAACCCGACACATTCTGGGTTTGAAAAAATACAGGAAAAATATAAGGCAACATGCAACTAAAATAACCGACTCTTTACTTTAACCAATTATGCTGTCAATGGAAGCGAACCCTGGTTTCTACGCAAGTCTCTTGACACATATCCAAGCTTGGAATCGAATTACGTTTCCTATATACGAGTTACTCTCACTCTGTTGCCTTCGATATAAAAGCAACTCTACATGCCTGTGTTCTGAATAATGCTGACAGTTGGATTGATTTCGTTGAAAAAAAAAACAGATACATGACAGGGATTCTTGAATTAAAATTAAAGAAGTACCAGATATTTCGTGGGATCGCATCCCCTGTGCTTTTAGGTACATGCAGTATATCGAAGTGAGATGTTCCTCGCAATGCCAACCATCAACGGGTTGTTTCCCTAATCATCACATGACAGAGAGCAAAATAGATTTCGCTTTTCTTTCATTTCAAACGATTTCTATTTTAATTATTCCGTTCATGAAAAAGCCAAACCTATCTCTTACTTTCATTATAAAGGCGAGTTTAGGACGCGTGTTCAGGTTCCGTGCAGAATAAGGCCTGTGAACCACTTATTAACTGTGCGCACCGACACGCTCCGTTTTTGGGCAAAGGCAATAGGAAAGTACTGAAAGTGGGGGGTATTTAAAGAAAAAAAAAACTTCTCAAGGGGTTTTCCTAGGTTCCTCGAATCGTTTCCTTTTCTCGAATCACCGCGATGATCCCGGAACTGTTCACATTTTTTTTACAACAAAGATTTCGCCAGAAGTTTGATCAAGTTCATCTGAATTGAATAATTCTGTAAAAATTGTCATGAACACAAATTAAAACTCTCTTTTTTCGTCTGCCGAATCCGATTGATTTGTGAGCCTGATGAAATTAATATTCGTGAAAAAACTTCGTTCGAAAACTGCTGACAGAGTGAATTTGATCAGCATATTTTTATAAGGATGGAAAACTTAGTAGAAATAATTGATTACCTCCAAGAATTATCCGAGGAAGACTGCCTCTCTCTTACTTGGTTTAATTCGTTGAAAACCTTCTTTCGGAAAAAAATTTAAATCCCCAATTGCGAAAATTTCTCCCCCAGGAAGATATGAGTGTTCTTCATTAGATTCAGATTTGCAGCAATACAATTTTAATGCAACAGATTAAATGATTAAATGAATGATGATTAAATTATGATTGAATTATATATTTCTTTCAATTTAGCATCATTATCGAGAGGAAGTTTTCTATAATAACTTATGAAAACGGCGTAGAATTTGAATGAATGTGAATGAATACTGTAGTGTAACTCAAGATGTTTAAACTTGAAATCAGACTTTTAAATTTGATAGCTTGTTTACCTTATTGCGAATCCTCGAAATCTAAAAAAAAAAGCCTAGCATGGCCAGGAAAATTCGCGATTTGACTATAACTGTTTTAGAGAATGCACGTCATCATACGTATGTTTAGCAATAAAATATGAAATGGCATAAAATTCTTGACACTTCCGTTTTATTTGCTCGCCCAAAGTTCAAGATGTGCATTAAACACATTCATATTCATATCAGGAAGGAATAAGTCGAATTTCAAAATTTGATCCATGCGATTTTCATACATTTTTTGCCAAAATGAATGTGGTGATAATCCAAATTCAAAAATTGTGTAGGAAATACTCTTGAGACAATCAAGGTAGACAAAAATTTATGTGAATTATTTTTTAACCTTATAAAAGAAGCAGAATCGAGCAACGGTTTCTGGGTACTTCTTGGTTGACTCCATCAGTTCTCCGATCTTTCAAAATAGTTCGTGATGAATCATGATCAGATTTTCAGGAAATCGGTATATTCCGTGGGATAAAATCTGAAGATTCCGAGGTCCCCGTCAGGGAAGGGGTTGAACTTCCTGTTCACCCTTTCTTCCTCTGCTGAATGTAGGTGGGGAAATACCAGGTGAAATTCTTGGAGCGGAAGACGGAAGAATGTTGCTTTCTCTTCCTCAATTTACTCAGGAAACGAACAGCGGAAACAGGCTCTAAGGACTACAATTGGTCTCAAACATTTTATTTACCCCTCTTTCTCACTTGCGGCCTCGCTTGCGCAAAGCAATACAAATTATGCGTCCTTAAAGGCTTTTAGGTTATCGAATTTTAAGAACCCAGTGATACGAATACTTGTTCCACAGTTTCTTCTTTCCTATATTCCAGTCTCAAGTGACCTGTTCGCAAAAAAAAAAGAAAAATATATAAGCGCGGATGAGTAGTGTCATCACGAAGACAATTTCTTGCAAATATCACGTAAAATGCAGGGAAAATTTAACTTTTCGCACAGATGATGATTCGCTCAATCTGCTGCAAAATTTCCTAGTAGACCCTTGTTACAAATTTGATGCCAAAGAAGCGAAGCGAATGATTACAGATGCTTTCTAGAATTTGCATACATCTCTAAAATTTTCTGCAACGCAGAAAAAAAGGAATCCATAATTACGAAGCATTTATTTGAAACATCCCCCAAGCCTTGTTTCTCAGGAATTGCGAAAAATGCCGTTAAACGTTCACACATCGCGTCGTATTCTTAGAATTCCACGAAACTCTTGCGTAACCCACGATTTAAAAGCCCTTTTCGTACCTCGCCACAGCAAAAAACAATTCGCTATCGCTTCAAATGAAAAAAATATATATCTCGCGACGAACAAGACCTTTTTGAGTGCGAGGAGGTAGCCATAAATTCTCAAAAAATTTAAAGCACATTTTTCACTGTCCAACGAAAGCATGAAAAGCAGCAGAAAAACATTGCTCCTGACAGTTCACGTACTCGCTGGTAAAAATGAACGAGTCCCATAAAGCCCGCCATCAACGGTATACTTTTTCATACATCCCTTATACTCCAGCAGGATTAGGATTCCATGTAAATCTCGACAGAAATCAACTGGGACTGAAATAACAGCGCAAAATTTTCCCCGATATGCCGTGCATTAAAAAATCCTCACGAATAAACACAGAATGATTTCGGCTTCAGATTTCAATCAAACCTGTGCATTTTGCTTACCTTATTCAAATAATGATTCAGCAAAAACGAAAAAAGGTTGAAATCTTTAAAAACGTACGTGTTTCTAAATCATCATCACAAAGTATCACTTTGACTTTGAAAAAGTTTGTGTGCGTGTGAAAAGAAATTATATGAACAATAAGGCATAAAATAGTTCTTCAAATAATTCGGAAACAAGAAAAACTCAGTCAAGTCATTATCCCGTCACTGTTTTCAAATCAAAAATCATTTCTCAAAAATTCGCATCAAAGTAAAAAATTTCGCTCTCAGTAAACAATTTAGACCTTTATTTTCACTATTTTTGAACATCTAAAAATGAAAAAAGGACAAGCAGAGGAAAATTTTGAGGTCTACGTACGTTACATTTCTGCATTCCAAGTCGGAAGCCTCATCACTGGAATATAAAGTAGGATAAATGGGCACATATTAATTGAAAATTTGAAAACAAAGGCTACAGCTCATCGTTTTCAAGGAAAAGAATATTTGTGATATACCTAAACCCTGCAACCCACAAATCTCACGACAGCAGCATACCAAGTAAGATCTCGATTTCAGATCCCAGTCTCATATGCCTTTTTCTAAACTCCATTTCCATGAACAGGCCAGTTTCCTTTTTTCGCCAGGGTAATTGGAAATTTTTTTTCCGAGCGCTGAAAAAGATGAACTATTTTGGATCAAAAATTTGAAGGGATGTAAACAACTTTTTTTTCTGAAATACTAAAAAAAAAACGCATCAAAGATGAGAGAGTATAAAGGGCATCCCGAACGAGGAATAAGTCACTCAAGTCATAACTCATTTTTAGAAACATTTTTTCCCGGCTGCCTTGCAATGCATAAACAGCTGTATAAAAATTTATTTTCATGCTATAATCTTCGAAGACATGGATTATTGATCTTGACAACCGTCCATTATGCAAAATATGATTCGCAATAAAATATTTCCTGAGTAAAATCATCAGCGAAGGAATATGCTCGGGAAAATATTTGTGAGCTCCTTTTATTTTTGCTTCTTGCAAATTTCTCCGTGTAGGGTGCATTGAAAAGATTTACAGAATCGTTGGCATAATTATAAGTTTCAGAAATAATTTTTGAAAATCGGTTCATCCAGTGGTATTCGACTTCATTTATTTTTCTGTTGACGATTGTTGATGAGGCTCAAATGGGGATTCTCAATGAAGTGAACATAATTTTATGATTTTTTAATGGTTCGTTATCCTAATTTACTCAAGAAAAAGCAATCATAGATCAAAAACATGAAAAAATTAGCCTTTCAATGAAGTCATCTCTAAAAAGACAAAAGTTTGATTTCATGAAAAGGTTACTTGATCGCATCAGGGTAATGCGTAATTTTTACGTGGAGAATCCTCGAAAAATAACATGCGAGTGCAAGAACCACTTTTTTAGGTCTTTGAAATGAAATAAATTCACAATTTTGACAAAGGGAAAATTCGTTTTTCTTGTTCATTTCTGACCAAAGAAGGACAAAGCACAAGAACATTGAACACATGCCCGCTCACAGAATCCGACTCAATCATAATCACGTATAGCTTTCTCAAACCGCAATATTTTTTTTAAATGGCAGAAAAAAATCAGTAGGTTGTTTGTCGCGTGTGTAGAAGAGAAAATAAATTACATCACGTTTCAAAAGTTCACGCTGTAAATTAATTTTAAAAAAAACTTCACTTCGTCTAAAAGCGATGAGATGATGTTAAGCGTGACAATTTCAACTCCGACTCTCAAATGTGAATATCCTCGTTAGCTTTCAAGTTACCAATCAGCTCTCAACTCTCTTATTGTGAAATGTTGAATGTCTTTTTCCAGAGAAAAATATTTCATGAATCCGTTCACTTCTTCCTCCCAAAGAAAAGAAAAAAAAGAAAAAAATTTGAATACTAAAGCCAAAGTAACTTTTTGTTCCGTTTTTCGTGTGTTGAATTCTGGGTGCAACACGCAACACACAACGTGGAGTGGAAATACAGTAATAAATCCTCAATTCATTTCCAATAGAAACCTACTTACCAGGCAACTAACAGACTAACGGCAATTTGAAGCAAGGATTAAAACTGAGGAGTAAAAACGGTTGGAGAAAAAAACCCCCCGGGATCGCTATATTTGTGTGAAAAAAATAAACTCTATCCCGGGGGGCATCGCAAATGAAGTTAACCACGTTAACAGAATATTTCAGTCCCGGAGTTTTGGGATCAAACCTTTGGTACCCTTCGGGGGTTTCAGGCAATTAAAAAGTGGTCGAAGTATCAAAGGCGACGTTTTCTGCTCTGCCCAGGCCCAGACCCAACATGTTCAGCAGTTCATCTCCCACGCTTCCTCCTCTTCTGACACGATCCGTGTGGTAATCGTCACTGAAATTCTGTGGAAAACAACGAAATGATTGTCATAAATCACGTGTTTGAAAGGTTCTAAATTTAGGCTTATTCAATTATCAAAGTATCAAGATAAACTGTTGGCCTTATATGATTTCTCATCAAAAATTCTCTTTAATTTGTTCATTCAACTAAACCTCATACAGAAACAAGGTGAAGACCTTGTGCTTTAAATTTAAGTTTTACATATATTCTGTTTCCAATGTCAGGGAATGAATGGGTGTATGCATACATGTCAGATGTCCAGTTGTATTTCATGGATTGTATTTTCTTTTATTTTTGTTATCAATTTGTGCTCTGTTTCCTGCTCTGAAGTGATTAAATGTCATTGAGTGGATTTGGGTTGGGTGGGAAGTGAGTTTGGTTGTGGNTTTCTTTTTGTTTTGTTATCAATTTGTGGTTTCCTGCTCTGAAGTGATTAAATGTCATTGAGTGGATTTGGGTTGGGTGGGAAGTGAGTTTGGTTGTGGAAATCTTGATTGAACCTTGTGAATGCTGGAAAGCGGAAAATAAAGTATTCATTCATTCAATTATCTTTCGAGCAATGATAATATCAAGATTTCAAGTGCCTGGATGAAACCTGAGCGAAAATTTGAATAGCATATTCTTTCAGGAAAAATTGGCGCGCGATTTCCAAAAAAAAAAAAAGGTGGAAGGGTACTCTCGAAGGTCGTCCTAGTTCCGCGTGGCTTGACTTAAGAACAGTCCAGCCAAACTACAGTTAACGGCTTTTTAAATGTCTACATATTCTGAGGGTTTACTTGTTCTTGACTTTTAGCCGAATTTTTTCGCCAGCAGCGTTACCAAAAGGGAAAGTTAAATCCACATTACGGCGAAATGAGCACGTTCTGACGGTCAAAAAAGAAATGAAATAGCTCAAACCATTTAGGTTTTATCTATATTTAAATTCTGCATTGGTATACTTTTCATTGTCGCCCTCGGTGTAATTTTTAATGCGAATTTCGGGCTGCATTTTTGCGTAAAAGCTGCACCATCCTTATTTTTGTTGTTGAAAAAAATAGCGAAGAGCCGGAAATTCCAGATTACATTCAGGATGGCTTGGTTAACACAATAGGAAGCATTGTAACTTGAATTAATTATTTCCTGGTGCCCATTTTACGACGCAATTCAGAAATCCTCTTTTCTCCTAAGAAGGCTGCTCAGAGGATCCTACCGTTAAAAGCGTTGAAACTTTTCCTTCCGAAAAAAACAAAAACGGATCAACTGGATTTAATACGTTAGGACAAAAAAACAGTGCACCATTTCCAACCTATTCCCGAAGTCTCTTCCTTGCTGGAGAGAAAAATTTTGGGAGAATTATTTGCACGAAACATAAAAAAAGGAAACCGTAAATACTCCGTCTTACGAGCATGCTTCTTCTCATGAAATATTCACCTTGAGTTGCTTGCTGTTGAAGACAGCTCGTTCTCGCTTCTTGATCATGTATTCCGTGCACTGGAGCCAACGGTGTTCCAGACACTCTTCAACATCCGGTCGTTTCCTGTAACGAAAAAATAGGGGAAAATGCCAGAGAAAAAAATTAATAAATGCTTGTGAACCTTTGGGCAAGGAAAACCAGCTGACGAACACATATTGTTGCTCAGCATGATCGAGTGCATTGTGAAAATAAAAATGGAAAGAAATCGACGAGAATCCGGGATCAAAAAGTATGCCGAGTGCTGTTCACGGGTGAATCATTCAGTGGATATTTTAGCTGGCGTAATATATACACAACATTTCGAGCATGAAAGACATGAAATCGTCCTTCAATATTACGCTAGTTCCTATGATGAGATTACGAGAAAAAACTGTTGCATAAGCCTTAGTTCATCGTCATCTCCGAAAAAATTTCAAGATTCAATTGTTGGAATCAAGTTCGTCAATTAAATATTATTGAGGAGGTGGGGAATAAATTGAGCAATGAAACGAGGCCCAAATATTCTCACAAATCTTCTGCATCTTTAAATTGCATTCCCCTCAGTTATATTAAATTTCTGAAACCCATTATACAAAGGTTTCAAACCGTTTTTTTTCTCGTCTACATCAGTTGGAATCCGGTAAAACGCGTGGGCTCTCTCTTCTACATCAAAACTCAAGGTACCAGCACGAAATCGTTGTTGAAAACCAGCATAAAATGAGTGTAGAGAGCCCTATGGGATCGAATAAAATTTGTTATGCAGAAAATTCTTCATAGACGAGATCGCTGTATATGGAGAGCCCACCTGTACATAAGTGTTGAATATATTTGGAAATCTTTTTCAAAACATTTTGATCTCGAATCTTAAGGCATATTTCCCTTTGTACAAAAAGCACTCAATAAAAAATATCACCGCAGAATTTTCAAAACTATGTTAATACCAACGAAATTTTCAAGAAGTCCCAGTTCTTGCAAGAATAATTCGTGCATAAGCCTAATTCTCGTGAAACGTCTTTTATAAAGCAGGGACCGTCTTAGATTAAGCATGTGCATTTTCTCGGGTAAAAGAAAGAGGAAAAGCATATGTCAAGGATCCTGATGTATATAAGCCGGAGTCTGAGGCACTATCTTAACTGGATTATCGTCCACTACATCATTTATCATCTCTGTTTCCTGCACAGCACCAACAGTTTTTAATGGGCTCTATATATATACAAGGGTTGCTCCTCTTCCGCACATGATTACAAATTACAGTACTGTATTAACATTGGTAAAAATCTGAAGATTCTTCACAGATTTTTCAAATGATGCTTTAGGCAGCTGCAATTTTTTTCTTCTGATTTTTACTTGTCGGAAAAATATTTATCCACGAGCAAAACTGGGACAACCCTCGAATGTATAAAAAAAAATGCACGCGGAAGATTCAGTCAGGGCTCATCATGCAGGTTTCGATCGACAAAACCTGCACATAATTTATTTGGAAAGATATGATCTGTTGCTGCCTGCATCTTTACATGCTCAATATGCCATACTTTCTAAGCAAATAAAATTCTGCGAAGATCAAGCTGCATTATCACCTCGAAACGAACCGAAAAGCAGTAACTTGCAAGACTGATTATTGTGAAGCGCTTATTTTTTTTCGAAAAATTTGAGTCAAGCTGCGGTTTTTTGTGTGGATAAAGCATCCCTTTCTAAGCGTGATAAAATGATTTTACAGCTGCAAAAAAAAATCGTAGAAGAAATCCTGAGGAGCCTTGACGCTTTGATCACAAACTTCGGAAAATGGTTTCGCTTGAATCTTCTGCCGGAAAGCGTAAAAAAAAACACAGCAAAATGTACTGCAGCATGTCATGAATATTCAATAGTAGTGAGAAAAATTACCTTCGAGTGTTATGAGCAAAAATTGATCGTTAATTTTTAGTCAAGCAGTTGAATAAAATGAATTTAGCTAGGAATGGGCTAAATTTATCACTAAACTCTCCCGGAGAATACGAAAAAAAATCACGGAAAAATCTGATTCATGCCGATAAATCTCCGGCTAAGTGGACGAAAGTTAAACGGAAACAGCCTGTGCTAAAATTGATTGCCGAACTTTTCCGGGCGATATGAAAAAAATGCAAAACCTGCTGCATAATGTAAAGAGCTCTATTATAAAATTAATTCAAAACGGCATAGGATACAATTGATCACTGAACTCTTCCAGTAAATGTAACAATAAACACTACAAACACCCCTTCAAAAATGAGTATAGAGTTTCCATGCTATAAGTGGACTTGAATTAACTTAAAACTATATATATTGATCGCTATATATATTGAATATATATCGCTATATATATATATTGAATTGATCGCTGAATTCTTCCGGGCAACATGCATGCACACAAACACGGCCAAAGGCTACGCTGCAAAAATGCCAAGAATTCTCACTTTTAAGCGAAAGAAACATGATCAACTTACACTGCATGTCTCTTGAAGATGAGCATGAGGAAACGTGACGCCTCCTGAGTGATTTCCCGGTAGAGGTGCTCAAAACGGTAGCGAGCGAAATTGATGTTGGTGCGGGTCTCTTGGTCGGTGGCGCCGCGGAACGGCGACACTCCTGACAACAGGATGTACGCCAGTACACCTATGCTCCACACATCTGCTTGAGGTGTGATGTCCTCTTTGCTCAGCACTTCCGGAGCTGCATGACAAAAAAACAAAAAACAAAACAAAATGTGCCAGAAAAGCGGCGTCAAAGACTTTTCGGTTCATGGATCCACCCGTATAAAATCAAATATTTCATGAAGAATAATCTCATGTCCGATGTATTGTTTTTATCGTGAATAACTTACTCGTTTTGAAATTTTGACTGAATGAACCTTCGTCTCCGTATATCGCGCAAACATTCCGAATTTTGACAACGGATACCAGCATTTTCAATATAAACTATATATTGTCTCCGAAAAGAGCAGTGATACTTGTGATTTTATTCTGATATTTTCCATATACAGTAATACTGTTTTTTTCTTCTTCTTCAAATAGTTCATGGGAGGGTCGGGAAATATCGCGTAATAAAGATTGACACTCCCTGTTCTTCCAAGAAGCTCCGCGCGTCCTATTCAACAAAAATATCCGAACACATGCGCCATCTATGTTGTGGCAACTCAAATGACATAGCGTACACTTTTTGACGATTACAGATATTTATATGTTATCAAATTTACAGTAAAATCCCGTTCCAACGAATTTTTCATCACAACGAAATTTCTTCTCGCCGTTTATTTTTCGGCACAACTTCATAAAAATTTCATTTTAACGAATTCATTTTCCTCTATCATCTCAGTTTAACGACTTTATGCCTCATTATTGTATGTGCATCATGGGCCATAGAAAGTTCTACTAATTGGGAAAATATGGGAGAACCGAAATAGTGAATATGTGAAAAACCCTTCAGAAATATGAGCACTAATCCGTTTGTGCATACAATTTAGCATTATAAGAACTAGATGAAGCTCTGATCAAACTTGATTTAATATTATTCTACGGTTTAGACACGGCTAATTTAAAAAAAAGAAAAAATACGCTTATTGGAAGGATACTCCTCCAAGTCAGGAAACGTACAGTTCTTCCTGCACAAACGCTCCTCTTACCTTAGTATTTCCTTCTTTGTTTCAGCTTATACTTCAGTAAGATCAATATATATTTCATGGAAACTTGATAAACTGGAAATTCTGAACTATGAGAATTGTATTGTACATTTTGGATTTTCTCTTTTATTGCATCAAGATAAGTTGAAAATGTTCGATATTCCTTTAAAATCTGTCGTGGAAGTACTTTACACTAACAAATATCGGCGTATACGAGAATTTCAGTCCTATACATGCTCAAATAACCAGCACGAATCTCGTTAAACCAAATTTTCTTCCAAAGTACCTTGGAGTTCGTCATAACGCGATTTTAACCTTTAAATTCTTTATTTTCCAACTTGCAGTCCATCAAATCGCTTCAAACTTAAAAACGATCGTCTCTGAGCTTTTTTTCTTGGCAAACATTAAAAAAACTTTTCTTGTTGTCGTCATATATTATTATTTTCAAGCGAAGGTTGCAGGAAATGCAGAGAAGTGATGAAAATAATCCCGAGCAACCCCGACGGGTCTCGCGTGCCACTTCCACGTCCACGTCGTCATGCGATGATGAAAGCTCATATTTCCCTTTTTTTTTCCTTTACCGCGGACGATGACACGCAATCCATTCGCGGGGACGGTCGTAAATTTTCGCCCCCTTCGTCGTCTCCCTTTTCCGAGCGATAGATAGATAGAGATCATCGCCCGAGATGGTTGTCACGTCCCCAGGAACACTTTCCAACTTTCATCTATTTCGCTCATTTCGGGGAACAAGATTCAGAGAAAAGGCCTGGAATTCTGAATTTACGAAACAGAGGCGTTTGTTGCAGTCCTGCGCAATTTGAAAAAAAAAAAAGAAAAACGACGGGTACGTAGGAGCTTGGAAGAAGGAGGTGCGAGGAGAAAATAAACGGCAGTGCTTTTCCTGATATATGTGAGAAAGAAAATAAAATTGCTCGTATCATTGGGTTCCAAACACAGAAAATAGTTTGTATCTCTGTTATAGATGCGTTGAAAGAAGAAAATACAATATTATACGCATTGATTTTCTGTTTATGAATCTAGAATTTATTTCTATCTTGGCCAGAATTGAATGAGAGGATGGCGAACGTGAATGAGAAAAAATGCTAGAAAATTATACATCCAATAGTAAAAAAAAAAAAAAGTTCTTGAAGCATGAGGTGTATACAGATAAAATAGACGAATGTGCTATTCCTGATATTTGCGATAAATAAAATAAAATTGCGTGTATCATTTTGATTCGAAAACGGGAAATAATTTGCATCTCTGCTAGATTTTCTTCTGAGAAACTGCTTGAATGCGTGTCATGATTGTATGGAGAAAAATGCGATGAATGTCTGTTTCTGAATCAAGAATTTCTTTTATCCTGACCAAAATTGAATGAGAGGATGACAAAAAGGGAATGATGAGAAAAATTTACAACAATTGAACTTTTAATATGAAAAACTAAAGTCTTGATGTGCCAAATGTGGAAAATTTCTGGAAAATACAGTTATCATAGCAGTCAAAAGTAANTATACTGTTCGTATGTGCATAGGCAAAGATACAGTAAAATCGAATGGCAGAATGCAGAAACAAAATAAGAGCACATAAGAGAAGAGGAAGAATAAATAGAAGACGAACAATGCAGCGTACTTCACGAGGGCCATTGGCGTATACAGGGTGAATGACATGAATAATTCGAACCATTTAAGCGTGAAATCTTCCGCACGTTTGGTAATAAAGTACCACTTCGAGGCAAAAAAAGACATTTAATCTCATCCTTAATGATTCGTTTTATTCTGACAGAAAGAACTGAAATGTTCAGCTCACTCACGTTTAAAGAACTTGATGCTAAAGTATGTTTGTGCATGCAGATCTCAATTTTGACAGCAAATGAAAGCTATTTTTCATCCTTTTCTGCATCCTTGATGACCTCATCTGCAGTATTTTTTGCAAAGAATTACTTTACTGAGCCAATTCTTGTGTCTTGTTTTTGACATGATTTATTGGCTCCTCTTAAAGTTTTGAGACTTTGGGCTTATATTTCTGAAAGGCACGCTGATGTTGATTGGCTTGATCCAAAAATAAATGGTAAAACCATCTGACGGCAGTTAAGCTGTCAGAAGGATGGTCCCCCTAAACATTGGCAGGGGTCCCCTGCTAAATAAAATGAATTCTTGTCAAAATTCATTTCCATCTTCTCTTGTAAAAAACTTTTGTAAGGGCGTACACAAAAGACTTTCCAGTTTTGTAAAAAGAATGCTCTGTCAAAAATTTGAGTAAGTACATTTCTCTTCTGCCTCTGGATAAAATTTGTACAATTCAAGCCTAGAAACGTATGAAGATAATCAGAATTATGTCAGTTCATTCAATGTAGTCAAACGTTGTAAGAAAAAAGCTCCAATCTGTATACAGTATATTACTATTGTCAAGTGATTCACCAGGAACCTTTGTCAATACTGTATTACAGAAAAATATTAAGGTAATACGTTAATGTGAAATTCAGATAAATCGCGGAGTCAAACGTAACTTTGAAAACCCGTGAAATTTCCTAAAAAAAAACATTTTTGCAGTGTCTTACAGCGAAAATGCAGCTTCCTTCAAGTCGCCAAAATCAGTAACATCATTGCAGCTGATGCAATACAATTCATACGTAATGAAGAGGAAGCCAAACGAACTCCGATTCAGCTCAACCAAAGGTTTTATCCTACTTGTATGAACAAAGGTATTTACAACAGTAAGTAAGCTTATAAATGGTGTCACGTAGGCGGAAAAAATTCAGGAGCTTTAAATAAATTTTGAACATTTTGCAGTATATGCATTTTATTGAGCTAGATCAGCTGAGAGGGAAAAATTGCCTGCTATTAGATTAATTTGAAATGGATTGTCCTGGCTCGGATTGATCGGGCATGCGACCAAGTGCTGTCACCGAATTTCAACCAACTTTAAAAAATGATGAAATCAGCTTATTTTATGCCTTGTAATTTATACCTGAGCTTCGGAACAACTAAATTATCCGAATTTTATGTCCTAATAATGTCCCAGGGAAATTTCAAAAATAGTTCTGTGATTTTATGTTGACTAATTGTTACTCGAACAATAAAACTGTTCTACAATTTATTCTAAAATTATCCAGGTAACAGGATCATTCGCGCAAAGGCAATCAGCCCAAATATTCTGAATTCCACTGTAACTTTAAACCAGAATAAGGTCCTTAATTCGGGTCAATAACATCTCTAAATAAACATGGAAGGCGTAGTTTCAGAGAGTTAAAGTCCTGTAAAGGCAGGGCAAGTACCTCGTCGGGTACTTGGTCAAGGGGTACACGAACAAGGTGGTCTGTAACATCACTGAACCATCATCTAAGTTGTAAAAAAAAAAAAAAAGGAAACGTCTGGAATTTTTTTCGAGGTCCACCCTTTAATACAGGACGAAGGTTTCCAATGCCGGAGAAGGGAGATGAAATCGTGCGATTGGCACCAGGGAAAGTGTGTCCAGGCAAAGATTGGCATCACGGACGCCGGGGGGAAAAACCTCCCGCCGAGATGATTCCAGGTGATCGAGAACCTGTTTGCACGCGACCGACGGACTGCAGGAAGGAAGGTTCGAAATCCCCGGGTTTCCCAAGAACGGTTATTGAAGGAATTATAATAAAAAACAATAAGAAAATTACTGATAAACTCTCTCGATCCTTCAGGAATTGTTGATTTTATGTAGATTTATTACTTCGACGGCACTAAGAAAATCGGCGGGATTCCGAGGTGATGAAATTTTATTTGCGCGACACCTTCTCCGATTTGTTTTTCTCTCTTATTTGGCCTAGAAAGTGTCTGAAGATGTATTTCGGACTCGATAATCTTGAAAAAATCGTCGAGGGTTCTCGGACACATCACCTTTCTTAACACTTTTCGCGATATAGGGACGAGTTGACATTGAAATTTCAAGTTGAGGTCGACTGAGTGAAGAGAAATATAAATTCTTGGAAGAAAGAAATTGACAAAAATTTAAATTACCTTCGACCAAAGTTGTTTTTCTAGGGTGAAAAAATGGGAGAAATGCTGTGCATAAATGTTTAAAAAAACAAAATTGAGGGCAAACAGCAAAAAAAATCCAGTATTTGGTCCACACACTTCCATTCCTATAGCAAATTATAATAAATTTTATTCGCGCTTATATCTACATTGAAATTGTGTAACGAAAAAAATCATGCTTCATACATGTATTCGGTGATTCATTTTCCATACGCCATTTGCTGTATTGATAAATGTTGTCCAGTCTTCAAAAAAGGTTCATAAAAACGGAAAAATTTGATAACGACGAACGTCGTACATACAGTAATTGTTGAGGAAAAATAAAATGTCATTCGAAGCAAATTTCCATTTTAGCAATCTGATCTAAATTTTGAAATTTTTGAATAATAGCTCTAAATTTTGAAACAGTCAGAATTAAAAATAAGCGGCAATTTTCATTTTTTTCTCCATATAATTGATCGCCAATTCCTTCCCATTCGTCAATTTCATGACACTGACGATTCGGATTAGTTTTGATTATTTTCATGCATACTATCATGGATTAAAATTTTATTACGATTATCTCTCGACTATAAAGCACATCTGCGAGTACGGGGAAATCATTTTGGTCAGATAATTTGAATGAACTCACCCATGTACTCCAAGGAACCCAGGGTTTCCACTGGCAAACCCTGTCTGGTAACTTGTTGGGCATTGCCAAAGTCAACCAGACGGACGTCCAATCGTCTGATACTGGCCATTACGACGTTGTCTGGCTGAATATCCAGATGCACCATTCCTTTCCAGTGCAAATATTGCACAGCATCGAAAATCTGAGGAAGCGAGAGAATTGTGATGCGAATTCCAAGAAATTCTGGGTAACTTTCGGCTCTTTTTTTTCAAACAAATTTTTTAAATTCTTTTGTGGGACTCTGTCTAATTTTTAATGTTTTGTGAGGCAGTGAATGCCTCAAAGAATATTCACTGAATCCATTTACAACGGAATAAAGTAATTTAAATCTAGCAGTGTGATACATTTTCGTTTCAGTTATTCGTTCGTCATCTGTGTATAAAATATAATAAATTTTAAATTTTAAAATCTAGCTCAATCATTGAAGAACGGGTGAGATTCACAATAAAATAGCATTTCTGCGTCCAAAAAAAAT